ATGTGCAGCTATTATATATCCAAATAGTCTTTAAATATATGTTGGAACACTATAATTCTAACGAATAATTAAATAAAATAAATTAATTAATCCTCTCAATATAACTTCAGTTATTGGTCAGGTCCCTCTCAGCCTACATCATAGAGAGGAATATAACTTCCTAGACTGACAAGACTATTATCAAGGCTTAATAACAAGCAAAAATTATATTCTATAAAATGCTAAATCGTAATTTTACTCAAGCATAAAGACGGTTCAATGACTGTTACATTTCACATCGAACCGGTAATCAATGGTCAGGTGGGTTTCACTGGGTAATCAAGAATTAGTTTAGTCAAGCAATTAAAAAAAAAAAAACCTTATCTTCACATCATTTGATGCTTACTTGAAATATAGTATTTCTCAACCCTGAAACGTATAAACTTATAAATGTATCGACGCACTTAACTTAACGGATTAACATGACTAAGCTTAATAAATAAATAACCTTTGCGAATTATAATTATAAAAATAATATACAAAATATGGGTACACTTAATAACTTTAGGTTACTACATTTGTGTGGAAAAATATGAACGAGTTTTTCAGATGGATACTCTGCACGACCTTGGGAGTGCAGTATGTTCATCCGACAAAACGAGTTCATATTTTCCCATACATGTGCAGTAATCCTTTTATTGCTCATTTTTTAATCTACCCAACGCTTAATTATATAAACAAAAATACACTACAAGAAACAAAGAATCTGAATTTATACTGTATTCCAAACTATCTACACGAGCGCAGATTCGTCATTACACAACAACAACCTTATTAATGCGCACATTACTCCACCCAGATCAATTTGATCTGAATCGCGCGCTAGACATAACTTTCGAAAGAAAATGACGTTTTGGTCTACTTAAAATTGAAATTTAGGGCCATTCTGTGAATAAATGCGCATTGCAGCAACTTTTCCATTTGATCTGGAATTATAGATTTTGTTGTGGTTTTTTTTTCTTTTGTCGATTCCACGAAATTTCGTAACTGGATTTATTTACATGAAGTACATCGGCTTGAAGCAGCGTATATGCCAATTCTACACAAAATACATCGGATTGATGCAGCGAGGGAGAAGCGCGTTGACATCTGCAAGTCATTGAATATTTGAAATCGTGGGGAAAAATATTAAGTCTTTCAATTGCAATTATCAAAATGATGCTATGAAATGTATTGTTTATTTCATTTTGAGTCCAGTAATGAGGATGTAATTGCACATAGAATATAGTCGAAATTACAATAGAATTTTGAAATGTGTAATCAAGCTTGAGAAACCATGACATGTGTAATCAAGCTTAAGAACCTATGACATGGCTCAAGTAATTCAGATTTGTAGAACTAAGAAAGTATATTTTGAAGAAATTCAGGAAGTAAAACTGGAAGTATATTTTTTCATTCTTATTGCCAGCTAAAGAAGACAGTTTATGCCTTGTCGCTTGTATGCTATGAGTAAGCACCCTGTATGGCGTCTATAGTTAGCCTAAATCTGGAACAATGTATCAAAAAAGTTTACGCGGAATGAGCCAAAGCAGCTGGTATGATGCAGTCCACGAAACATTTCCTTTTCTTCATTCAGAAACAAATTTAGTGAAACAAAACGTTAAGCGTCTACTACGAGAGTGTAGTCTGATATAAGCCTTTATAGCTTCTAGAAAATATGGTTGACACTTATGATTTTCATCAACTGCACTCCCTATGAGATAACTTCAGCATTAACAAAACTATGAAGATGTAATAGTTCCCTCCCTTATACTAAGGTCTGGGATATTGTCTACCGTAAGCATAAATCCGAGTTCAACAACAAAGAACATGAATGAACCTGATCTGATGTGGCATAATGCGCTGGCATTTCTACGTCTTTTTGTTTGTTCTACTAATTACTCCTAACGGAACTGCACAGATCCAGATCTTCTCTCGCATTCTAGGACAGCAGATATGGATCTGTCCATTGTGCCGTTGGACTTGTGGAATAAGCAAGTAAAGAGATACCATTGAGGGAAAAGTTTCTATTATATACTTCCGCAGCTCTTCATGAAATTTTAAATAATACAGGCAGCAGATAACCTTGGAGATGGATACACTTAAAAAAAGGCAGAAAATACGACCCTAATGATATGCATTGCATTCCCAGAGTACTCTTTGCCCTAATAGTCTTCAAATAAATTGTGTAGATGGGGCCCCACCCCCTTCAAATTTAAGTCGTAGGTTCCTAATAAATATTTACAGATCCAACCGGCAGTAAAATGTCGAAGATTGCCATTTTTCGAAGTCTTCCTCCCAGCGTTGAAAACTGAAAGCAGTGCACATGGTATACACAACTTCGCAGGGCATGGATATTAACTTGTCCCGATCCTTCATCCATTTGACTTGCTGTTAATGCATATGCCTTTTAAGTACTGTACAATAATATATAAGCATGAAAATGTCTATTAAATGCATTCATATATACCAACATTTCATGTGAAATTAATGATCACCCCACTTCTGTCGAATAGACTCTTCCCTTATAGAAAATACAGTTAAATACGTTTTATAGTCCGTGTATCTTTAGCTATAATCAGTGTTTACATATGATCGTGTCAGTGTTGGTTCAACTTCAGTATGGTAGGGCAATGATACTCTTTGCAGTTTAGTTTGGGTTCTGACATAATTATGTATTTTATGAAAAAGTACTCGACTCTCCATGACTAATTAACCAATAAATATTTGAAAATATGAGTTTAAATTGTTTTTTAAAATCAGTTTTTTATGCACGCATTAGTGAGCAAAGTTTATTTTTCATGTACGCTTTTGTGGGCAAGGTTTATTTTTTATGCACGCATTAGTGGGCAAAGTTTATTTGTATGTTCACATTAGTTGGCAATGTTTATTTTTTATGTATGCATTAGTGGGCAAGGTTTTGTATGTATGCATTAGAGGGAAAGGTTTATTTTTTGATGTATGCATTAGTGGGCAAGGTTTATTGCTAATGCTTACATTAAGGGGTAACGGTTATTGTTTTATGCACTAGGTCTGCAAGATGTACCAGAAAGAAAGTGAAACCAGCAACTTGGATAAAAATCAACAACCAATTTATTTCCCTACATTACAAAATGAAAATTATAAAGACACTTACAATATTGTGAATTATATTCCAAGTAATATTAAACGTCCAAAAGTACAGAATGTTCAGAATTACTTTCAATAATATTTAATGTCTCGATATAACAAAATGATACAATCCAGGATGACTTTGAAGAATCGACATAACTCCAAAATAATGCATTAATCCAAAAGTAAATGGGCATTTTAACAATTGCAATTATTATTTAAATAAATAATTTGTTTTCAATTCAATGTGATGTCAACAACTCAACTATAAACTATTATCACTAATAGATTCCCACAGACTAATCTAAAAAGAAATTAATTCTTTATTTATTAAATCCTTATTTATTCCCATTATCACTTGACCTATGTCGTAAAAGAATGCGAAGCAATTCAACGGAAAAACATAATCTGCAAATATGACTGGTCTTGAACTCAAATGAACATAATGTTTACAACTTACGGTCATGGACAAAAGGTAAGCAAACAATATAAATAAAAAATGCTTGGCAAAGAAACGTATGAAAAACCATAGAACATATAATTTTACAAAATACATAACAAGATAATAAGAAATTTAAGAAACCTTAGAAGCAATTAGCTCGTTATGGACGTTGGGTTTTTATAAGGTCGTTCATACTTCATTTCTGGAGGAACGTGGATTTTCAAATAGAAATTTGTGATCAACACTAAGATGGAGAAAATATAGACGGGTTTACATTCAGCTTTTGATACATCTTAGAACTAGTCTTTCATAATAATCTAAATATTCGAAATACAAAACTCCATGCCGAATCAATACCTCAAATTCTTCTAAAAGCATGCCAGTCTGTTTTGTGATAGTTGTTGTTTTGGGGCGAATGAGTAAGTTAATTTTAAATAGCAAGTGTTACCGGAACCAAACGTAGTTATTCCGACTAGTGATTTTTATATTTTGATATCTAGCTCTGTTTTGCCAACGTATTTTAATAAGCCTCACGGCCTAAAATGAAGATTCTTTATCAGCTAGTAGCAGGTAATAGGCACAGGGCTGTCCTTAGGATTGGAAGCCCAGGCGGCCGAATTATAGGTTTATATGCACCAACCGATTTTCATAGCCCGAGGGGCTGAATTATGGGTTTATCTGCACCAATCGATGTTCATAATATAAATTTACAGCAACTCATCGCACATAACATGGTTCATAAATGAAAAACATAACTGCAGTTTGTTTTATTGTCTACACTGACATAACATCCGCAGGTGAAACTAAGATAAATGATTCACGTCACTACAGGTACTTCTGTACCGTAAAGAAAAGTCTAACGCAAAGTGCACTTCTTGTGTACTATGTTTAAACTATAAGTGCACTTCAACATCTATACGAAGTGGACATGATCATGCACGTTTGTTAACAATGCAGTGCATTATACTGAAGCGGATCATGGAGGGGGGGGGCGGTTCCTAAGTAGGTAAGATGTCTGACGGATGAAACTTATAGAAATTCTTACATTGTAAGCATTTTCAGAGAATAATTTTAACGGTAAAACTATAATAAAAAAAACTTGCACTAGAAAACGTTACAGTTATTACTCGCTCGTTTGTAAGTGAATATGGTCGTGTATTAAATTGAACAAGATAGTGCAGTCTGGTGATGTGATGCGATTGTGATTTTAACGTAGCTTTAACAATTTTTCAGTCATATCGCTACGATGTCTGCAGAGTGGTAGTTAATAGTGATGTCTAGCACTGGAGCATCATGCTGCAAACTTTTAGCATGATATCCCACCCAGTCACATTATCCTGACACCAGACCGACCATTCATAACACTAACCTCTTAATGCTGAGCGTGAAGCGAGGCAGCTGTTAGTACCATTTTTGTAAATCTTTGGTATGACTCAAACGGGGTTCGAACCAACGAGCTCTCGCATCTGAGGCGGACGCTCTAACCACTAGGCTACCGGAGCGGTTCAGTGCAGTCTGGTAATCAAGGTTGAACTCAATAGTCAACAAGATAGCAAAGAATGTTAAAAAAAATATATGCAGGAAAATAACATTGATTCTACACTGGAACAGCCTTTAATATCTTTCAATACATCTGTCGAAAGTTAGGATTGCCTTGTTATTTTCAATATGAATGAATGCCTGACTGGTAGTGAATTTCATAAATAATAATAACAAATTTGATTATAAACTTTCAAATATAATTCTATTAAAATTTTTACTTTATCAGCTCCTACGGAAAATAAGCACACAGGTGTAGGTGTAAACATTGGATTCTTTTCCTTGGCTTTAAATGATGACTTTGAGTCGGTAAGTCGTCGTACCTACATGAAATCATAAACTTGCCCCAAATCTCCCCTCTAGCTACCGTTTAGTCTCTTGAGCATCCGTTATGGTAAGAGACCAATTATAAGATTAGGAATGCCCTGGTACCTTTTTACCTTGATGGAGGACACACTTTCTACTGTGATGGAGAAAACAATCTTTTCTGTAAAAGGTACTGATGATTCTTGGGTGATGACACATACATGCGCATAATAAATATAATAATACTAATTTTTTATTTTGGTACACTCATAAAACATATCTAAATAAGTCAAATAAGATTAACACAGTGAGTACATTAATTCGGCTACAATACAAGCAAACACAAAACCACATGATCCACCAAGAATGACAAATAAAAGTTCATAAAAATTTGTTTTCAATGGGGTCAGACAGGGTTTAGTTTCAAATACGAATCCTATATTCAAATTAAACTAAGCAATTAGTAGTAAGTATTAAACACTTAACAACTGACTTCAGAATTTAAAATATCACTAATTACCAATGCAAACGTTTTGTCTTTTAAAAATATTCAATGAATCCCGGACATAGGTATATGTGAGTAAGGGTATCATCCAACAGATTACCTTACAAATAGTATGATACGGATGCATTAAAATAATAAATCAAATGTATGCTAGGATTATTATTATTAATTTCAAGTTGTTTCTTTGAAGGAAAAGAAAACCATTGTAGTACAGGAAAAAATAAATTTATGAGAGAGAGAGAGAGAGAGAGAGAGAGAGAGAGAGAGAGAGAGAGAGAGAGAGAGAGAGAGAGAGAGAGAGAGAGCATGCTATATATTCAATACAATATTGATGTATTCTATATCTTTTTTAAATAGGTAGTTCTGTATTAATGTCAAGTATATTTGTCCTTGAACATTGTTGGATGAAACTGCTTCCAATCTATGAATTTTGACCAACCACGGTTTTTGTGGACTTTGTTTTTGTTGACGTTGTTGTTGTTGTTGACTTTATTGTTTTCCGGTTTAAGCCATTTCTCAGTGCAGGATAGCCCATTTCATACCGGATTTAACGGAGTTGCTTCGTAATTATCCGAAAAACTTCCCGAGTCACTTTATACTCCAGCCAATCAAACGCTGGTAGGCATCTGTACATAACAAAATGGCATACATTGTTGTTTAGACGTATCAGATTAAAATAAATTAAGAAATGCCCGCTACCTGCCCACTAAATGCCTGGGACTTCTGCAGCTCTACTGTCGAAAAATATTCCAGGTTTGTTCTACTGCGTATTAATACGAAAAATTCCTTTTATTGGTAAACGAAAATCGATTTATGAAATACGTTGTTATGGTAAAAGAGGGGTTAAATTTTTAACATCGACACCGTTTCCATACTTGTCTGGTCCCCTGCTTAGTATGCTCCCTGCAATGCACTCCGCTATACTATACTAGGGAGCATACTAAGCAGGGGACCAGACTATTTGCCTACCAGCTATCGATTGGATATTGCGGTCAGTTGACCACCCGCCATGTGATCAAAATTCCGAGCAAATTACGAAGTTCGCCGAAGTCTCCATGAAATGGTCTATTGCCTATACATGGCGGCCAAATATAACTGGTGGAGAAAGAACCCTGAAAAAGCCTGTAAGAACCACCGAACCACGGGTAGCTACTGGCAGATTTCTCACTTACCCACATTAGTCCAGCCCGAAACTTGAACTCACTCGAATAGAGGGTGTTAGATGGCATTGATTGGCAAAGGCGAGCGCTTTGGGGGCGCTCATCGGTTATCATATAGTTTTGAGAGAGTGATGTATGTAAGGTGAAGTTGTTTGCATTTAAAACATGCACAGTGGAGAAAACATTGGCATACCTTTATGCTGCTTTGATGTAAAAATGTAGCTGACATTTCTTTGGATATTGTACTTTTGGAAATTGTAAATGATCTTTGCACACTGCTAACTAAAATGACAGCTCCCTTGTGCTCCAAAAATTAGCTTGATTTTGTCTAAAGTACACTATCTTTAGCAGTTATTAAAATCGGGAAAATGAATTTTGCCAGACTAGACAATGCCAGTTTCTGAAAAAGCAATAAAAGAATTACCAAATATATCAAATATAAAAACTTTATCTGCTCTTTTTTACAATTTACATCTGAAGTTCAGGAAATGTAAATGACCAAGTGGAGCTAGCACTTTTTTTGAAAGGTGCACATCTGGAGTAAGTCGAAGCTGTATACCCTGTAACATACAATACACCCATTAATCCATGCATGCATATAAAGGAATTAAAGGTTCTTTGAACAATACATAAGATGTACAAGATCTTTTAAAAATAGCCAATATAACTAGTGAGGAAACCCGGGGGAACTCCGTATCTTTAAAATTTTAATCCTATTCAAAATACAAAACTGTAGAGCGCCACCTTTAGACCACTCAGAACTAACATAATCAGGAATTCAATGTGCAGCAATCCGTTTATTAGTATTAATTGTTTATTTAAAAGCAATGTATCCAAGTGTAATAAACATACAATGAGAGGATTAGTACAGGAGCTATCAAAGAATATTTGAGAATTCATGAATAGAAGAAAAGTATCAACATCCTATAAAAACCAACATTTTCATTTCGGCTACGATTACTCACTCAACAAAAGAAACGTTGTCTAAATAGTAACCTATTTTCATCCAAACTTAATTTATACCTAAAGACAGGTGGTAAATGGACATGTAACTGTAACAAAGCTGTGTGTTTGGACAGGAAAAAGAACAAGTAGTTATTGTTACATAGGTATAGAGAAGATAGTTGTAAATGGTTTCAGAATTATACCTACAAATATTCTTTTATCGCCCCCCACCCAATTAGAATTAGACTAGACAAATTATAGTCTTTTTCTACAGAACCAGTAGAATAGCATTATCATTTTTTCTTTGATTTCGCTAAAGTTGCATATTTTGGTATAAATTTTTCAGGCAAGATGCTGAAACAAAATCCTAACACGTTGTAATTATATCACAGTAGCTACAATATTAGGAATTATTAAGCACTACCAAAGTGCTGAAAGTTTAAATTTAATATTAGTTTTAGGAAAGAACTACACATTCGGACAACATATTCAAAATAAAATGCCAATTAAAACATTTTTATATCGTTGAACTTTTCTCTTTTTCTGGCTTGATTAAAAAGTCATTAATAACAGACGATTTAAAATGACCCAATCTTTCCAAGGGACATTAGGATCGGAATGTTTCGGGATTGATGTACATGTGCAAGAGTGAATTGAAGAGGAATCCGATATCTTAGATACACGATGACTCCTCGTAAGAAAAGGAGAACACACACACAAACAAACAAACACACGCCAAGCTAGTATAACTTCCAAACACTTCGCATCTGTAGCATGTACGAGAAGTTGATGGAGATAGATTAATAGCCAATTTTGTCTCAGAATGTTCTCATTTAGAATACAAATGCGCCATTTGATAATGAAATTAAATTTCTGAAATACTAGATACATTTGTACACCTATTTTGTATATAATTATATTGTCTTGTGCGTAAAAAAGGAGGAAAAAAGTATACAATGGAGTCTTTTAAACTCTAAACCACATCCAAAACTTGTAATCAATTATATTATCATATATATATATATATATATATATATATATATATATATATATATATATATATATATATATATATATATATATATATATATATATATATATATATATATATATATATATAAGATGAGATTAGTGAACCAGAATCTAAACCCTTTGAGTCTACACCCATCACTATCAGCAAACCCTAAAAATTACTACCACATTCGAGAGATGGACAAACGTTCCTCTAGAAAATTTAGAACTACAGTCAACACGTACATGGTGAAGTTTAAGATTTCGAGTCCAATGTAATGCTGGAGAAAGCAAAAGGGTTCATCACCAATGTGTGGGATTTTTTGTTAACCAATCTGAAAGAACAATGTCAAGCCAAGGAAGACAATCGCTTGACACTTTCCATTCATCACGACAATTTAAAGTCTCCGGTATTGATCGAGTTTTAGCAAGCCATCAGAATTGACACCTTCTAAAGTCATGGACAAAATTCAACAGGTGCAACAATCCAACTACAAGTTTCACATCACCGACAGAAAAGCGTCACTATTCATGACCTACGTGTCTCTTCCCCAATGAACCGGACAGCGCAAAAAAGTGTTTATGGTAGACAACCTTCGCAGCATCAAGCGCAGCATCGTTCAAATTAACTACACTCAACACCAGATGTGCTTAGCGCGCGTGATCTTGGTGGGAAGAGCGTATGTCGACCAGAACGACACAAAAGAATGGAAAAGAGCCTGGAAAATTATTCGTCGATCGGACCAAACCAAACAACAAAACTTCTGTTACAGCAAGCTGGGCTATCTAAAGACACACCCTGTGTCATTCCTGAAATGCAAAAGTTGCAAGACATCTTGGCTCTGAGTTACACCTTAAAAGTTCACCCTCAAGAAGTGCGCGGACCTCTGTTGTTTCGAGGCAAAGATTTCAAAGACGGAAAATACATTCACGTCTTTCACATCTATGAACATTTGTATGCCATTATCAGTATCACTGCATTCGAGTCATACGGTTATTACTGTGAGAAATGTGACTGTGGCTATAATAATCGAGA